CTACATTTCGTAACAATGATCAATAATAATAATGATAATGATAATAATAATAATAATAATATTAATAATAATAGCATTAATAATAATTATAATAATAATAATCATCATATAGTGATAACATCTTCTCTATCTCGATTCGAGGGGAGTCATTTGAAACTTGACGTACGCCATTTTAAAAAAAAACCGAGAAAATTCGAACGCGAATACATAGATATATACTATATTTATATACTCGATATAGTCTCTAACAACTCCAATAAGAAGACACGTGCGTGCGCGCGTACGTAGGTATATTTATCGATGTATACATGTGTGTACATTGCCATCTCTTTAACCATTCATCTACGAAAAACAAAGTTACCATTACGGTGTTTCAAAAATGCATTTATATATTTAAAAAAAAAAACAAATATTCAATGATATAAATATATATAAGATAAATTACAGACGCTTGAGAAAAGAGATAATATTATGATGTTAATTGAAAAATGATTTTCTTTTTCTGTAATTTCGTAATTGAAAGGTTAAAACGTCGAGTAGGCAGTTTACTCTCTTTTTCTTTGTTTTTTTTTTTCTTTTTTTTTGTTTCTTTTTTTTTATTCGTAGCGCTTAAACTGGACAAAGGATAATAACGACGTGTGTGATGGTAAGACGAGGATACGACAATTCTTTGACTAACCATAACAGCTATTCTGGACGGAGTCGAGCGACATCGGCGTCGTTGTCGTTGACGCATTTATTCGACGACCTCGCTCGTCTCATCACTTAACTAATTTTTCTTTTCTTTTTTTTTTTTTTTTCTATTTCCAACCTATCGAATCTTGAAAAAACAAAAGATTAAGATTGTAGGCGGAGCAGAAGAAGATGGTTAACCGGTATCGATCAGCACGCGGTCGTGCGCGCTGATCCGAATCTGCGTTAGGTGATTTTTATCTCTGATGGTGAAGCAGCGTTACTCGCCGAGGAGCCTCTAGGGCAGAAATCGAAACATGTGACTAAGAGAACATGACTCTTGCAAGCTTCTACTCGTTTTTGAAGTATGTAAGTTTCAGCTTCGAGTGCCTCGAGAAAGGACGGGTCACGCCAATCCATGCTGTCCTCCACGTGCACTGTAACAATCAACAATAAGATTATTTTATGATTAACAAAACACTTGCTATAATTTTTTCAAAATCTTAAAGTATATAAGACTAACACAAATACTGTAAATCTGGTGGATTCTAAATTTCTACTTATCGCGTTTTACCGAATTAATTAATTATTGAAGTAATATCAATTAAAAATATACTTTTATCAATTAAATACCCGTTAAATTCATAGATATGATAAATAGATAAGTTGATTATTTGAAAAAAGAATAAAATACTAACATTCGTAGCTCCAGCGACAATCGGGAACCATCAGGCGCTTCTTGGCGTCTCTCAGCTCGAGCCTAAGAAGGCGCTGGCGCAGTCGCAGTTTGTGTATCTTGGACATCGTGCCACGTGGTTCCGAACGCAATCGCGCGCGCTTGTCCAGGATGTCCACGTCCTCGCCTGTGTAGACGAGTATCCCCGGTGGCAGCGGTGGAGGCCCGACCGGATGTCGGCGGACCACCACCTGCTGAGATTGAAGTCGTGCCCGGAGCACGCGCCCTGCCACCCCCCGCCGTTCCACCGCTGAAACACCCGCACAACGTCGAGGTTAGAACGCCCAGAGCGCCACCTGAAGAGAATAACATCGTACGGGGGGAAGAATTTTAGAGGATTTTTTTTCCGTCGATTTTCCGGATTATCGACAATATTTTATCTTTTTAGGACTGTCAATCTCGAAGGACACGGTGCTAATTACTAATTACCTTGATGTTCTTGAAGAGCACTGGTTTGTCTCGATGAATCACTAGCGATACTACTGGTCTCACTGTCTCTGACAACACTATCGTATCCTGAACTCTCAGCTCGATGTCTGGATAATGTAGCTGGTGATAATTTAGCTACCCGTGCTGCTGAATCGGCATCGGATTCGTAACCCTCTTTGTTGAGACCCAAAGAAGAACCAAGACTTAGGATTTTTCGTTGCATTCGACCGGAGGATGGTGCTGAAAAAGATAATACATTATTCAAATGTGTATGATTTTATATTATGAAAGTTGGTTTATAAGTTTGAGAATATATTTGAGGAAGGTACATTTTTGTCTGTTAAATAATTATTAATTTTGAAGATTTGTACCTTGAATTTTCACGTCCTCCTCGATATCGGACTTGCCCGTTATTGTTCTTTCCGATCTCTCCGCCGCAGTGAAGAGTTTTTTTGCTTCCACGTATTCCTCTTCTGGATCCGAACCCGAAGCACCGTTTCCAGGTATCCTTTCGATTTCTTCTTTTAAATTAGGATTCGAAGCACCATCTGGATGCCTCAGACTAGAGATATTGCACTCGCCTAATTTTCCGCAGTACCTTCTAGGACTGGCAAGATGAGCGACGCTACTCGGATACCAATAAAAAGCTGTAGCTGGTCTTGACATACTTTGACGACAATTGTCACAGATCTTCTCCTGATCGGACTTCCCAGCTATGTATGCGGGCTCGCTGTAGATACTACCATGATTGCTCGCATTGTCGTTGAACAAGACATCCGTAAGGGACAAGGATTGACAGCGTGATGGCGGACGGAAGACGGTGGCGGCTGGAATTTGTCCTGCGTTAATTTGTTTCTTGCTGTAGAACAATTAGGCCTGGCTGCTCGTCATGTGTTAGTAACGAAAACAATTGGACTATTGTTATGTGTGTATACTACGTGTTAAATATTTGATTAATCGATAAAATATTAATTGAGGATGTTTTGTTGGTTAATGGATAAGAAATAAAATTTTGAACATTTTGAATATGGTTGAAAGAAAAATATTAACTTATGTACTTGAACTCTTATTCCAATAAAAATAGTTTATCTTCTACTAGGTTTCGAAAAGAAATGTTTACTTTCTATCTTGTTCAAGGTAATAAAATGAAACTTACATGGAGCTTCTCGCGAGTTCACAGTGGACGAATTCTCCCTTTGATACGTCGCTGAATTTGAAACATTCGCAAGAGCTAATTTGCTCTGGTAAAGCTCGTGAAGTCTTGCCAATTGATCGAATTTGTGCCTAGTCTCTTGTTCCAAGAAATCCTCGTGGTCGAAATATGGCCTCGGCATTACACCAGCACCAACAGGGGGTGGATAGTGAGATCTGTAGCGTTCCGTGTCCGACATTACCGACATTGAGTCTGAAAAGGATATTTATTTTCTTTTGATATCTCTTGCTTCGTATCGTATTTAGGATAGGAAAGTGGATAAGGGCAAAAGTCCGGCTGTCCGTATGTATCCTTTGAAAGTAAAGAGATAAAGGACGAAAGGAAAAAGAGAAAACCTTTCTGAGGTGGATAAGTAATTACATCTAACTTAGTTCCTCCATCTTTCTTCCTCTTTCTTTCGACGTTAGTGTCTTTTGCTAGACACTGGTCAAAAAATCCAATTGCTGATCTCGTACAAAGTTACAAAATGTGTTTATGGTTTTCATCGAGAATTAAAGTATCTCTATTTTTTTTACAAAAAATGTGAATTAACTACTTTTATTCTTTTTTTAGTCTAAGTCTAAAGATGAAATCTTTTTAAGAGATTTCTTCATTAAAGTGTTTAATAAAAATATTTTAATTTCCTTATTTACGTACTTTCAATTTTGTTTCAGCAAAATTATTATCATTTTTAATTTTCTTAGACAATTTAATAGACTATTATAAATAGGAAAGAAAAATGATACGAAGATTGAGGATAAAAAACTTACCAGTAAATGTAGAGACAACCGTAAGATTTTCCTGGCTGAGAATTCTTAAAGGATGTTCTTCTTGATCGCTCTCTGGCAAAGGATTTTCGCTCATACACATGGCAATGTCTTCTTCCGTAACTTGAAGGCAGGAGTCCTGCATTGGCACTGGTTCTAAATCTTCCACCTCAACAATTTCTAAGATTTCGTCTTCGGATGAGAGGGAGTGTCTGGATGGTAATACAATGTCCTTATGAGAAAGGTTCAAACTTTCCATGGAAACTTCCCTGCTAACTCCATTGCTAAGAGGTTCAATCAGAGGTAAGGGAGGTGGTACAACTATCTCTTCGTCGTCATCCTCATCCTCGGGAAGATCTAATTTTCCTCTATCAATGCTATCATCCATAACTGGGCTTGCTGTTAGATCTAATCCTGAATCGGTATTCGACTTGACGTTTAGAAGATTAAGTTTCGCTCCGAGTTTTTCAGTAATGTCTTCGATCTCGTTGGCCTTCAGACTATCACTCTCAGCTGTTGATAAAGAGGTATCGTCATCGTCAACAGTAGCAGAACAACTCTTGAACGTCGTCATTTCTTTCAACTGAGAAGATTGTCCAGTGTTTTTTAATGGTTCCATACGCAACTGCGCGTGTTTAGATCTTTGAATTTGAGACGATTGATTCTCTACCCATTTTCTTATCATACTCTTTTTATGACTATCCATGAATCCATAACCAGAAGAATGTTGTTGTTGCGTATGAAGTGGCAAGAGTGGAGGACTAGTTAATTGCATCGGTCCGTCTATCCAAGTTTCTCGTTTATGATGAGAATCCTTCAACATGTGTCTAGCTTCGGCAACCTTAGATTTTGAAATTCTTGGACCATCTATCCATTGTTCATCCGAGGCACCGCTTGAAGCAGCTACTGGAATTTTACTACTCGGCGAGTCAGTTATTTTTGAGCTGGAAACCTTGCTCGAAGATATCTTCCGCGCTGGACTAGCTTTTGGCGTGACACTGTGAGCTGGTGAAGTCTGTTTCGAAGCTGTCTGTGTTAACGTTTTCGTTATTTTCGTGGGCTTGTGTGCCGGACTTCTTTCTTCAGGAATCTTACTAGGTCTCTCAGCTGCTGAACCACGAAGTACTCGACCCATTGCACAACGATTGTCACCGGAATTCAAACTGGGAATATAAACTGGTGGATGTTCTCCATCGGTTGCGTCATCGGCACTTGGGCCAACGTAAATCACAGTGTCTGCGGAAAGATCACTGGAACTTGGATCACACTCGCTGTTTTGTCTGGCTGCTTCCTCACCCGAACTACCACCGCTCCCGGTACCCTGCGCACCACCACCGACAAATTTGATCTTTCTTCGTCTCATTCGATGAATCCTCGATGCCAACTGCACGGTCGTTAAAGTCTCGGTATAATGCTGAGCATTCGGAGACACGTGGGCGATCATTGCTGCATGACACGTTAACGAGCCAAGACATTCCTTTAGTAATTGGGTTAGCTTATGCTCCTTGTACGGCAAATGCTTCTGTCCATTGAAAATGGCTAAGAGAATATTTCCCAGACCTGAAAGTGGTATTCCACCGGACGACTTGCCACGGTCGGAATTACCAAGGTCCATGAGATGTAGTCTGCTTCTACCGCCGGCGACTATTAAATGAAGATAATTAAATTATCTTACTATGTATCTTATGCCATTCATATTTTAAGATACTTTTTACAAATTTTGCCTTATCTACTTTATGTAATATTTAATATCATTCGCATTTTTGTTTTCATTCGAAGAGACGAAAATAATAATTCCATTGTAACTTTTAATTAACCCTTTAACATATTTTCGCAAGCGCTCCGTTGTTATGGCATTCGTAATGCGAAACATAATTTATCGTTAATTCAGTACTTCGTCGACGATGCAACCGACTATTTTGTGTATAATTATAGTTTCGGTTCGCAAAATGTGTCACGCGACGGAAAGATGGGAATAAAATAATTTAAAGAATTTTGTTTAATAGATAAAATTTTAAAAAAGGTTTTTTTTATATTTGTACCTTTTTTTTACTAACGATATTACAAAAATGTTTTAAAGTTGTTGATACGCGTCATCGTATTATAATAAAAAATTATCCGGGGTGCAAAGAGTTAATTAAATGAGACAAGACGATTTATCATTTCTCTCTTAGTTTTTATAAAATAATATTTTTGATAGATTTATAAAGAGAGCTTTACGTACCACCACCCTTGCCTGCGACGCTATACTGATACACGTGTAACGTATAGAGCATATGAGCATCTCCATCTTCTCGTTGACGGCCAGCAACTGCTGCGTCGAGATAAAAAGCTGCACGTTCTGCAGTTGGTGCTCGGAGCTCACTATGTTGTTGTAACTGTAACGTACCGAATAGCGGATCGTCTCTCAGATAAACGGCCGGCGATTGTTCTGAATCTGCAAATAAATCCAACCAAATTTTTTATCAGACTACACAAACAAACAATAAGGATTCGACCTAATTGTAAATTCTATTGGAGAAGTAAAAAAAAAAAACAAAATTGTGCCATGAGTTTGATTCTTACAAATTATTTATTTAAATAATATTGATTTTTTTCTTTGATAATTTATAAAAAGAAAGTTAAATGTATATATTAAAATATTTTTGTTTTACAATTAACACTAAACCTACCGACACTTCACATATAATATTAATACCTATTCCTATCGCTTTAAAACCAAAAAAAAAACATATATCTTAATATAAAATGAGATTTTAGCCAATTGGATGGTGAAGAAACATTTGATACGTTTTTAAAAATAGTTTGATCACTCGTGATAGGTTTAGTATTTAAGAGATAATGTCATTGTCACAAAACAATTGTTTTTCTTTCTTATTAAAGATTTATATTTGCTTCTTTAGAAGAAACAATTCTCGTTTCGGAAATGAATACGGTACGGCGGAATGCGTGCTGGAGTATCGACAAAACGGAGGGCAGTAAATTGGTCCGGGTGAGGCCCAAGGTATTCGCGAGCTGTCTCGAGCTGAATTACGACGGCGATAAAACGTCGAAAGATACCTCGGTGGAGATACAGTCCGTGTACTATCACGGACGCTATCGCGTTCCCGATATAGTACAAACTCGTACTGTTAGGTAGTACGAGCCGGCTTGGTGCTGGCTACGAATCGAAATGCGAATAATCAAGGTAATGCGAAACTTGGTTGTAAATAGTGATCAAGGTAAAAGCACAATTACAGGAAAATCGATCTTATGTTTAGCTTGGAATAGTATACGTTCAAGTTTCTAAGATCTGTTTGTTTGTAGATTCAGAGTCTAAGGATCTTTCCACAATCTAGACTTTCCAAACTATTGTCAAACAACATCAATGCATAATAGGTCTTTGGTTTGCCTATTTTGATTATTTTTTTTTCTTTTCAACACAATGTTAATTATATAATTTTATAAATAAATTTAATAGAAAAATTACGTCTTTCAAAAATTAATATTTTCGGAATTCTTTTCGAACAATAAAAACAAAACTAATCTGTTTTTTTACTTCTAAAGTTTTTTAATTTTAATTTAATATCGAACAATATATTAGACTTCGTAAAATTATTTTTTTTTCATGAAAAGAAGGTTGAAATATTTGGAAATATCACAGGTCATTCGTTAAATTATAAACAAATCGAATCCATTTCAGCGATTCTAATTTGCTTAAAAATGTAATCAAAATTGTCTACCTTAATTTTACGCTTTCTTGGACAACTTTTAATGTATGGTAGGGTCAAAAGGTGGATGATGGACTCGTAAAGCCATGCACACGCGATGACATTTCTCTCTTTCTCTCTCTCTCTCTCCTCTCTCTCTCTCTCTCTTGCATTCAACTCTGTTCATATATCCTATCCTTGCTCGCTGGTAGAAATCACGACGTGAAATGAGGTACGTAGAGACAGAGGAAACTCGATGGAGAGGGAACGATCGATAGTACGCGTATCCTACGATTCGTAAAAAGAGCTTTCTCGCGAACTTACATGTATACATTTAAAGATGCACGATCGGTTCATGCGAGGTCGTTAAATTATTGAGCTTTTCTAAGAATATATACGAACCTCTGTAAATTATTTACGCCTATCTTAGAGATAAAATATATGTAAGAAATAATATTAAATGTCAAAGTAAATCTTCTTTTTTTTATATGAGAATAGATGAATAATAACATTTAATAATTACAATAGTATGAAAGTGATTGTTTATATGCATTAACGAATCGATAAATTATAAGTAGTTAAATGTGTATCAATTTTCATAATAGATACTATATCTATGTAATTCATTACAAATGAATACTATCGTGCGATTACGTTTAAAAAATGTTAACAAATTTATAACAACATTTTTATATGATCTTTGTTATATATTATCCCTATTATATATTTCTATTAAAATTATTATATTTTTATTTTTTTTTCACTGATGAGAAATAATATATCTTTTTTTAATAGTTTATTTAAGACCATTAAAACGATTGACACGAGAGTGAGTATTAAAGATAAAGCAAAAATGAACGTTATACGGTATCTTCAACCCCAGAAGTTATAAATTTTTGTTTTTTTTTATTAACTCTATCTTTGATTTTTTTTTCTTGCCGTTAAACTCGACCTCAGGTCTTTACCAGTTGCAATCGATATCACTTTTATACGATCATATATCCTCTTCTGTCTCGAGTGAAACGATTTAACAAGAAAAATGGTGTCTCCTTCTTCACGATTATTATGAGTTATTTAGATAATCTTTAGCGTAAAGTGCCAATTAGTCTTTTACTGTCTTCGGAAGACGGCTCCTCGTGTCTTCTCGTTCGCGAGAAGTCGATCGTAAAGGATATGAGCAGCAAGTAAAAGGGCACTTTTTCTTTACTTTATATCCGAAGCAAACGGTGCCCGTTGCAGCTAGGTTAATATCGAAGTATTCTTCTAAGCTTCAACGTTTATTTTAAGATCTTAATAAAAAAATTTCATTTTACAATTAAAAGTAAAATAATCCACTCTATAGGGGGGAGGGAACATGGAAATATGAAATATTTAGTTCTCGTTCGGATGGAAGGAATTTTATAGGGAACGAGATATACATAAACATAAAAAGAGAGATCTAATGTTATTAGCCATTGTTGTTAATTAAAATTCCCCAATTAAGACTTTCTAAATAAATGAAAAAGAAAAAGTTATTAATATTCATGAGATAGTAAATTGTCGGGATAATCAAGTATCTTCTCACCCCTGCAATAAAGGACTACAAAGTGTTCGAAAATCTTGAAGCGTCCGAAACTTGAAAAGACTCAAATTTATTCATAAAATTGCAGATATTATCCTGGAATATCCAACAAAATGACGTTGTTCAATTGGATCTATTACCGAACTATTTAGAAAATGTAGAACATGAAATCAACTATGGATGCATAATCAAAATACTTTCACAAAGGATTAAAAAAATGTACAAACTATCAAATTTATTCATAAAATTGCAGATATATTCCCATTGAATATCCAATGAAAATCATGTGTGTGTTTATTATTAATATATAACGATTTAAAAAAAAAACATTGTAATCCTTAGAATAAAATAGAAAATATGAAGTACATTGATGGAGTATCATAGAAAACATATATTAGCTACGGAAAATTTATCCTCTTATTCTCATTTACCGTGAAATTTTTCGTTATTTTATTCGGAAGTAGCTATACTCCTTGCAATACATACATATATATATACATATATAAGTACGGTTGTCGCAGTATATATACATTATTAAACTATTACATATACGAGCATACGAACGTAAAGATATAGTGGCAGAGTCGCGTGGCAATATCCATAAAAGGGACCAGAGCAAGTAATATTGCCGGCATCTGTGCAGCAGCAGCCAGCACAAGCGTTTGTTGGTGTGCTAGCTGGCATCGGCTGACGAGAAAAGGAGAGAACGATGGGCGGAAAGGGACGCGGAAACTCTTAGGAAATAAAAGGAGAGAAATCTTCCGCGAAGGTAGGACGAACCGTAGACCGGAAAATATATAGACGTGTAATGGATGTGACACCGCCATTTAAGATCCGCCACACCCTCTTCTTCTTCTTCCTTGCTCTATTTTCTTCATATTTTATTCGCGTTTTTTTTTTGTTTTCTATTCCTACGAAATTCGAATTCTATACTTATTAGCTTTTTTTTTATATAATTTCTTATAACCTCTATATTTAATTGTAATTATTTGTCAAGAGTAATTTTTCTCATTGATTAATAAACGTAAAATCAATTTGTAATATATGAAATGGAAGACGAAAGAATATTTTAAACTTCCATGTGTCACCAAAATCGTGCTTCGAAGTATGTAAAAGTTTGTTTGATTTATATCGTGGCTTGGATAAAGATAAGGCAAATATAAAGAAGAGAATAACAAAAGGAAGATAAGAGAAAAATCTTTAAGTCGTGATCGAAGACGAGAAGTCCAAGAATCTCGATCCCCCTAAGAAACGTGCACGGAGAGGAAAACGAGAATAGCAGTAAAAAAGATCTGTTTCGCCATTTCGAAACGGTGTCGAGGGGCCAGAATGCATGCCCTTTCTCGAGGGAGATAACGTTTTCGTAAAATTTTCTCTTTATATATATATATATATATGCACGCACATACACATACGCATGCATTAATACATGTGCGATCGATGCTACTTTCGAATGAAATCGAACGTGACCAGTGTTATTATATTTATATATCATCGTGCTAGGAAATTCAATGTACGTGAAACCGCGAGTGTATTTTCTTTCTTCCTTTCTCTCATTCGCATTGGCTATCACGATTTCTGTAACCTTATTGAATTTCTACAACCCGAGGGAGGTTATCTGGATGACCCATGGTCAAAGATTTCAATAGCATACCTTTTTTGTTTCTTTTTTGTTTCTGTGAAAATCTATATCGTAAATTTAATAAACGATTAATAAATTTCAAAGAACACGCGTAACTTCATCATGAATTCAATGTAAAAAACATCTTCAAATTTAAAAAGATATTATTGTAAGTTCATTCTTTTAGCTGCTTAAAGTTTATCAAAAATGTCATATTTATATCATTTTATTATTTAAATTTACATCAAAGATTTTTGATGAACAATGTTATTTTTAAATTTACACTTAAGATAAATAACATTGTAATTTTTTATAAATATTCATAAAACGTACTTGGTGTCACGATATCAAGGGTGGCATTTAAAGGAAACGAAGAAGGAAGAAACAAAGTGTCAAGAGAAGAAGAAAATTAAGGAATGCTCGGATCTCTCGTATTAAAGTGAAAACATCGTCCCTCTATCTACTTAGGTAAGATGGTCCTGAGGGAACACCAGAGACAAAGTCTACATATTTTACGTGGTCGTACGTTTACCAAAATAAATGCTTCACGTAGATTCGTAAATGGC